ACCGAGACCAACTGGATCACGTCCTACTTATAGTCAGATTTTTGGCAATGATGGTGTTGGGACATCTTCTTCTGGGCCGTCATCATCCGAGGCTGTACGTGACTCTCAAGCATATTACCCCCCCCCCTCCTCCCAATGAGATACCCTATCATGAGATGCCTCAACCTCCCGCAGCTTCACCTGCTCTCGCTCCCGCTCCCGCTCCAGCAGGTGGTGATCAGGTTCATCTAGATTTGTGGGTACCTCCATCTGCACCATATGCCGCATATACTGTGGAGGATCTTCTTGCCCAACAGGGGCGAGATGGTTTAGATATTTTGGACCCCACTCGTTCAAGGGATACTTATTGGTAAGTTTTTTTTATTATTATAAATTTTATTTTATTTTTTGTTTTAACAAGTTGATATTATTTTTAGGTTTGGAGCAAACAACCGGAGTGTATCAGAGACGATGAATGGCTATTTTCTCTAGCCTCATCTGAACTGGAGTATGACTCCAGACGACGTGAAGACAACATGGTTTAAAATGTTTGCGGTGAATATTTTTAAAATATTTAATATTAAATTATATTTTCAATATTTTTAAAACATTTTTTTTGTTTCAGAAAAAGTGACACTGGTCTTTATCGATCAACGAGAAGGTAAGGAGGCTTTTGTAGCAAAAGCCAAGATCCGACTTTGCAACACCGTCTCGGATTGGAAGGACAAGTGTGAACTCTACGGTTATGAAGCAAAGCCCAAGGAGATCTCGAAGTTTGTATGGGATGATCTATCTGCTTTTGGAGCCTACCTTCCTCGATCAAAAAGTTTAACTCGTGCTCTTCGTCCGGGAGAACGAAGGATAAAGACGGAAATGAGCCCATGCTTCATAGAACCGGCAAAAACCTCACGTCGGGATCCGTCGGTATCCGTCTAGATATTGTAAGTTTTATTTTTAAAAATTTATTTATTTTTTAAATTATTTATTAACTTTTAAAAAAAAAAATTAACTCTTTTTTTTGTAGGCCAAGAAGACCGGAATCATGCCATCTCTGACTGAACTATTCAGGATGACTCATGCCACAGTAGACAATTTTTTTGTGGATCCACGGTCCGAGAAACTCTATAATGATGTGGTTTCCCGGGTTGAGGATCGGGAGACACATCCAACCCAGCAAGCTCCCGATGGATTACCTGTTCATAGACTACAGAAGAAGTCAACCGTATTTTCGAAGAGGTAAAATTTTCAAATAAATTTTAATTCATTTATATTAATTCTTATAAAATTTAATTCTTATCTGCTTTATATTAATTCCCTACATCCCTCAAGATCCCTCCCACTTAATTCCTACTACGAGCAATATTGCTATCTCACCGGAGAAGGGTCAGGAGGTACAGAGGGTTGAGGAATCAGAGATACCCTTAAGAAGAACAAGCAGGAGGAGGACCAAACCTGCCAAGCTCAAATCTACTGGTTCCAGCCCACTGGCCCTTCCGGGGGTAGGCTCCAAAAAGAGAAACTTCTCCAGGGGACAAAGATCACCAGCTCGTC